ACCAAAATAATTCAAATTTAGCCATAAAAACAGGGATCAAATAATCAATTTGGAAATATTTTTTTCTCCTGGATTAATTTGAATGGAATAAAAGGAAATACTTGATTTTTTTTTTCATTGATAGTAGGAAAACCCCAGGATTATTTAAATTTACCCTTGAAAATAAGGATCAAACTCTTAATTTGAAAATAATTTTGTTCTCCTGGATTAATTTGAATGGAATAAAAGGAACTATTTGATTTTTTAAAAATTAAGAGTAGGAAAACACCAAAATTATTCAAATTTATCCATAAAAACAGGAATCAAACTCTTAATTTGACAATAATTTTGTTCTCCTGGATTAATTTGAATGGAATAAAAGGAACTATTTAATTTTTTTTAATTAAGGGGAGGAAAACACCAAATTTTTTTTAATTTACCCTTGAAATTAGGGCTCAAACTCTCAATTTGGGAATAATTTTGTTCTCCTGGATTAATTTGAATGGAATAAAAGGAACTATTTAATTTTTTTTAATTAAGGGGAGGAAAACACCAAAAATATTTAAATTTACCCTTAAAAAGAGGGATCAAACCCTGAATTTGGGAATAATTTTTTCTCCTGGACTAATTTGAATGGAATAAAAGGAAATTTTTTTTTTTTAATTAAGGGGAGGAAAACACCAAAAATATTTAAATTGACCCTTAAAAAGCGGGATCAAACTCTCAATTTGGGAATAATTTTTTCTCCTGGAATAATTTGAATGCAATAAAAGGAAATACATGATTTTTTTTGAATTAACAGTAGAAAAACACCAAAATAATTCAAATTTCTTGACTATTTTACCCCATCCCACCCCATTTCCCCCCCCCTCCCGTTCCCCAATCATCTTTTATCCATTTCTGGGTGGAATTCCCATCTCATTTTCCCTTTTATTTTGATTTTTTTCCCCCGTTTCGGCAGGGGCAGCCGAGGGTTCGGGCTGGCTGCTGCAGAGGGCGCTGTCGGTTCTGCACAGCTCCTGCCTGGACTCCAGCTCCCAGCGACGATTCCAGTACAGCAGAGCAATCCTGGTGGAAAATCAGCTTTTCCACACCGAGGTCAGCCCGCATTTCAC